CCTACGAATACAACTTCAGTGCAACAACGTGCTCCTTCTGCTTACACAAAACAGGCTTATGAATACGTATACAAACTGCCTCAAGGACTTTCAACTGTTGGACATAACGCGCACGACACAGTACAGAACAATGAGAGTCATCATACACACTAAGACAGTCAGGACGAGATAACAAGTGTAGATACACAGCTGACTTCTTACGATCAACACATTCATCCGCCTCATCTCGCTCCTTCCCACCCGACTCCTCCTCGTCCATCTCATCATCCTCTTCCTCGTTCCGCTCGTCATCCTCACGATCATCATCACTACCATCATCTGCCTCGTCCTCTGTCTCCTCACCAACCGTTTCGTCATCCAATTGCTCTTCCATCCTCTGATCACCTGTCTCATCCTCCGTTTCTGTACAGACCACTTGTCTCCCATTTGCTAGCTGCTCGTCCCGTGAGCGGAGTTGTTCCTCCAGATCCGCTTCACTCACTGACTCATGATTCTGCTCGACCTTCCTTCTGTTGGTATTGTCCACAACGCGCGGTCCTTGGCCGTTTCTGGCATAAATATCTGTGGAGTAGTTTGCTGTTGCCCTCCGAGGTCTCTGGATTAATGTGGGTGCCGTGGCAATTCGTGTGAGAGTTGGTGATGCCAGCGCGGGTGTAGGTGGGTCCACCGCAGCCCCCGCCACAAGAAGACCCGGTGGCGGTTCTGGTGGTGGCACGGGCAACGGTGGTGCTGCTGGAGTTGGTAACTTGGGCAGCCTAGCCCCCTCACACGTAACCGCATTTTGTGTTGGCTCTGTCTGTACCACTGGCACAGGGGGTGGGTTCTTGCGCGGTCGGCCACGCTTCGGTCGCTTGGATTTAGCTGCATCCGGCAGAATATGCAGTGGTACATGCTGTTTGATACGTGCGGTCAGGTGTTGAAGGGTCCTACCAACGTACCGGCCACCACAATTCCGGCACTCAAATTGGTAAACCAAATGGCTCAAAAGATGGGATGGTAGGACGTCCTTCCTCACCATGAACGCACGTATCGTCGTGAATACAGGAATGAAGTGTGCTGCGAAGTATGTTTTCAGTACTAGCGTCTTGACTGCGCGGCACATGGTCAGCGATGTGTTTCCTTTCCAAGGCAAACAAAGATAAATTGGGCATCGAGCAGGACCAACGCTCACTTCTTTCGATTTGTATGCTGTCTTCATTAGTTTATTGAGTACGTCTTCAGGGTATCCGTTCTTTAGAAACACAGACTTTAACACTTCGTTTAATGCCTTCTGGCCTTTGGTTACGTAATCTTGTTACCTTTTTGCGTTTCCTCTAGTGGTTTTATTGCACTTGTATCTTGTTGTTATTTCTAACACCTTTCTATTTACAGTACTTAACTTCAGTTTCTTTATACAATGTATGTATCCTTAGTTCCGTATTTTTCCCACTGATGATAGGAACAAGAAAATCGATTATGGGTTTTCAATAATATTTTTGTTATAAAATACACAGTAAATACATGTCAAACAAGTAACGTAGTTGCGTGATGTCTGCAGCCTTCATCATATTCATAGCTATATTGAAGAAGAAAAACGTTTTTTATAGACTTCTCCTAACGTCAGTCGTGTATTCTGTGATCGCTCCTGGATGTCTTCTTGATAGTAATAAAAAAATTGTAGCTATTTTAACCCGAATTGTTTTTCTTAACTCTTTTTTCTTCCAACTTCTGTCCGTGGCATCCCTCTCTCAGCTCGTCAGCTGACAACAGTCACTGTCACCACTATGACACTATCGTGAGAAGGTGCTCTCTGTAGACGAGGTTGGTGATGTCCCGACGCGGCCATACCAAAAACAAGGTTTATCTACATGTAATACAGTGGTCCCTCTATAATCCGGCACCATTTGTGCCACGAAAATCTGCTGGATTAGGGAGGGTGCTGGATTAACAAATCTGATTTACTGCTGCAATGTGCATGAAGAGGAAATTTTGGCTACTGAAAATTGTGCTGGTTTATCGAGGGTGCTGGGTTATAAAGTGCCGGATTAGAGAGGGACGACTGTACCATGGTTGTACTAGTACAGTGACACCTCGTTAAGAAGAAAACTGATAAGACAAACTTCCGCTTAAGAAGAACTAGAATTCCAAGCGCTGTTGGATTCATCACTGTGTATTCCCTGGGTAAGACATATGGATAAGAAGAACTCCCGTTATTGTGAACAAATACCGTCAGTCCCTTGGTGTTCGTCCTAAAGAGGTTCAACCGTACATGTACTTCCAAGTAGAGGCGTACTCATGGTACTGGCATCCAGGTAGACGTGAGGCTGCGTAATGTAATGTGTGCTTAGTCAAGTAAATTAGTGTTTATTATACATGTACATGTATTTATTTGCTAGTATTCCACATCCCATAGCATGTACATGTACAATGTACATGTAGTTGTCAATGAAAGGGGAAGGTACTGGGTGTGCAAGCCAGCCACGGCTTTACACATGAAACTCTACCTTTTATTGAAAAGGTAGCAGTACTGAAGAGACTTGGCAGCCGTTGGTCCAGGGCTATTGTCAAGACAAGAGGTAGTAATAACTATCGTCATTAATAATTATTGTGTAAACCATACCAAAAAACTGGCATTTCGGACCTTTCAGTTCAATCGTTTGGATAATTGGCACTCCACTGTTATTAATTTCGTGACATACATGTACATGTACATGTACATGGCTGTATTGTGTTATTGTATGTACAATGGAAGGCCGTTGTGGGGTTGATAGGGTGTGGTATGGCGTGGTGGTCAGTGGCTTGACTATGAACTGCCCATAAGTCATAAGAGTGATAATGACAGCGTGTCATTACTGTGATCTCACTCAGACTGTCAGAGTAGAGTGCCCCTCTAATTTATCCGAGTGCATGCCAATGATTTAGGGCACTGGTTCAGTCGCCGATCCCGGAACTGTTACTCTTCGCCGGTGTTTGTTAGTACATGTACTGTTTTACATGTACCATGTTTACACTGCACTGATCGTGTATTCAACTATTCATTCACTGACTGCCGGGACTACTACTAGTACTAGTACTACAGTGCTACAGTCACAGTGTGACTACTACAGTGCTTGCAACTGAAATCCGACCCTCTTGCTGGCGCGGCGGCAATAGGGTCGGATTTCAGTTGCAAGCATGCACTGTACATTGTACATCACTACATGACTATTTCCAGGAGTTCGAGTGTCGGCAGATGCAGACCATGCCACGGCCGGCATCTCACGTGCACACTAGCTTCACACGTGACTTCTAAAATAATTGCTCTGCGCATCAGCCGCCATCAGTGCATGTATGGCTTGAAAGTGATGACGTCAAAACGGCCAGGGAGTAGTAAGTTGACATCAGATTTCTATTTTTGGATCCACTAAGGTGTGACTTTGCTATTGCCTTAGGCCTTGACCACGGATTATGCTAATATTTTCGTGAACTTATGCTTTTCGCATTGCTGAAAAAATTGCAGAATTATGCTATTTTTATGCTTAAAGTTATCATATTATGCCGCATTCTGCTCACATATGCTGCTGATGTATATGATGCTTCTGTGCAAAATACCAGGGGAATTGTTTTGTAGAGGGCGTTGTACTGTAGTAGCAAAAGTTCAAAGGGGTCACCGCACCGTCCGACTTAGCTACGACCGTCACTGATTGTAGTGGACTGGACATGTTGTCAAGGGAGTCGTAAACCTACGACTTCCTGGTGCATCTACATGTACTTGTACTTGTAGAACATGTACAACTGTATGGAATTTGATGCGAACAGGCGGATTATTCCAATTTATTCGATTCATATGCAATTTGCCTCGAATTATGCGATTATTCGATTTTGGTACAAATTATGCGAAAAATTATGCTAGCATAATCCGTCAAGGCCTATATTGCCTAAGTATGTGGGTGCATAGCAACCCACTCATGTGGCATGCAGGTGTGACTTTTATTTCGCCACCAGTTGTAACCCCGCCCCCAGTAGCCAAATCAGTCAGTTTCACTGGCTACATCACAATGCTGTGGGTAAGACCGCTTGAAATGTGCTTGGATCCATACAAAAACTGGATCCAAGTGGATCCAGTTTTTGAATTTTTGAAATTGTTGCTATGCTGTGACGTAGAACTTTCAAGTAGACCATGGTAGCTCCGGTAGACTCTACGTATGCACTCTGCACTGCGGACTGAGTCTGTAGTGTGGAGCATGTGATGTCGTGGATCTTAGTCTTAGAGTTAGAGTCTGGCCCAGGCACGTACAAGTTCGTAACAACATAACCTGTACAGGTATCTGCCAATGCGGCTAGAGCTAACAACGAGTTACGTACATGTACATGTACAAGCTATGCAAGGCAGTCTGGAACTCTGGATCCCCTTGATCTTGAGACTTGACACCTGCCACCTAAGTTAGTCCTAACCAGTTACATGCCTGGTCCTGTACCATCATGTATGATAAACAGCTTGCCCTGCACTGAGTCTTCGTCCTCGGCCTAAGCCTAGTAAGTAGTAGTACATAGTAGTAGTAAGTAGTTAGGCTTTAGTGAATTTGACCAAGAGCCTCCTGCCATGCCATGCGCCACGCTGGCGCAACACGGCCGGCCAGCTAGTTTCTTTTCCAGGAATCCGGCCAGAACGCCTGCACAAATACATACATGTACGATGACGTAACAAAGCCCTAAAAAATAGAAAATTACTATTAAAACAGCCTTTGAAACCGCCAGTTTTATTTTTTAGGGCTTTGTTACGTCATCGTATGTATTTGTGCAGGCGTTGTGGCCGGATTCCTGAAAAAAAAACTAGCTGGCCGGCGCGGCCGTGTTGTTGTTGACTGAAAAAATTGCGGCATTTATACATGCACGGACACAGAACTTCAGAAGTCAGAACGGTTGGTAGGTTTCACGCTGAGCGATCATCGATGATCAGGCAAGCCACTATTTTGAAGTGCTGGGGGCATAACCGTTACATCCCTGATACATTCTTGATACATCACTGTACGGTGAGAATCTTAACCGGTTAACCCGCACTCTGCCGTTCCTTCATCTTTCCGCTGTTTCTCCTCGCGGGGCACGATTCTTGTCGAGGAGATACACGTACATGTACATGTATATGGGTCACCGAGAGTTGAGAGCTAGCACCAGTTGTTACATCTGTGTGCTGCTGCTGCTGCGTGGATTGGGCTTCTTGTCTTCAGCTCCTTCTTCATAGTGGGTTGGGTGAGAACCATACCTAGACGATCCTACCATTGTATGTTCTAGACAACGTACGCCTTTCCGGACCTTCACTCTGGTTTCAGGCAATTCTAAAGTTTACTTGCACGAATCCTTCCTCACCACGTCTGTTGTTCTCTTCTTCTGATAAGTGATAACACTGCTCTTGCCGGGTAGTGCTAGTCTCGTGAAAGTTACTGATTGCCACCACGCCAGGATGACATCGGAAAAATACAGAGACTGCAAGGCATTCCAAAGGTAGGGAAGACCTCCGTGCTGCTGTGACAGTGTGAGTCCACGTAGTTTCCCCTTCCAGCATTACACAATCATGATGTAACACACATGTACTAGTAAATGAACAGTTCGCATGGTAGTGTATGGTAGGACACTGATTGAAAATAACTCCGACTGTTCCGCTTCTGTTTTGCAGGTATCAAATGTTGCCTGAACTTTCATCGAGTCTCAGTTCACTTTCAGAAATTTACCCATGGTCACAGTTGTTTGCATACATTCGTCCAATTGACTTCGTCCGAGCCAATGCATCTGTACCTGAATAGGTCATCTAGGTTACTGAGTATGATGTTCATCCTGCTCAGTTCCTCCCCCATGACAGTGATACCGTAAAAGAAAATTTAACGCCATTGTAGCAGCACTGAGATTTCCCATGATGTGTGGATGGAGGCTACCAGCAGGTCTTTCCACTCACGGATCGGTTTCCAGGAGATACCTCACGCAACTCATCGCGCCCTTCAACGGACTCTTCATTTCCCCTAATGGTCCCTTTCGAAATCGTGAGTGCGCGTGTGCTGCTTCGAGGCGGAGATCGAAAAAAACCAAAATAGCAATAAAGACAGATCAGGCCCTCACGAACCTGCACGCGCGTCTCACCACATCCAGCCACGACAACTATCCTTGCCTAGAATTCTAGGCCTTCTAGAAGGCTAGATAGAGGCTAGAATCTAGCTGCTGCTGACGTGTGTGCCCGGAGAATGCCCGTTGCATTGAACGTAAAATTCACGATGACGCCAAAATACCTAAATTCTACGGCTTATCATCATGCGCAAGGCCTACTGTGCTGACCATGCTAGCTAGTGAGGCTGGGTGCAGACAGAAACTGTAACGACCATCTTTGTCTTGTTTTTCTTGATTTTTGCCTCGAAGCCACGAGCTGTTCCCGCTATTGAAACTGTTAGCCGACAGTCACGATCGCATTCCCGGACAGGATCACCCTGAAGTCATGCACAATGAAATGGAAAGCCTCCTTCGTCTCGAGCTGGGCAAGTACGATGTAAGTAAATCCTGTGGTGTCATCTTTACCCAGGGGGTACCATTCATGACGAGCGTGTACATGTGTTTAGGTTCCCCGTACCGTCATTATGTCTCAACAAAAGAATCAAAGCAATCGCAAAAAGAGTAGTTGCGATGAAGATCACCAACCAAAAATGATGGTGAGCTTTCCCGTGAACGTTGCCGGATCGAGATTCGACACGGATACGCACAGCAGAACTCGCTGGGTGATCATCACAACGACGACGAAAGCCCACGGACAGTGCCAGATCTTATCGGCAAGTAGGTGACCTGTATGTGCATCTGTGTTTAGGATATTTCACTTTAGTTGCAACGCTAATAATGTTTTGATCTGAAATACACGTGCTCCGACTTCATACTGCAAGTATTAGGCGATTCAGACTACGGCCGATTGTGGCCACGTTTCTACGACTCAGCTCAGACGTGTTTGATCAGCGACTGTACAGTATCATTTGAAACACGACTGCATCACCATGGAAATTCAAGTTCGGACGTGATTTTGGCCGTATTCTGAATCGAAGCATTTCACGAGTGAACTAGTTAGTTACGTTTGCTGTGGGTTTTTTTGTAACCGTAGCACATTTCAAATAGACTCTACCACTGGAACATCATCTCTTCTCCCCGTAACAGGGCCGGAGGCTGCTTCCGCAGAGCGGTGCGGCGGAAGGGCCATCTTTAAGGGCTCTGGGGGTCCTCCCCCAGAAAAATTTGGGAATTTAGACGGCAAGTCCTGCACTCTGGGCGACTCCCTGTACAAAATCATACATCGAAATTTTTCTCCCCGGTTTTGGACGTTCCACGGCCAGGTAGACCGACTTTTTGGGAATTGTCTCTTTCCCTCAAACCAGTTAATATTTTTGGGAATTATTATTATTATTTTTGGTACGGCCATGGCCGTACCAGTGGTGCCGGCCCTGCGTAACCCGAGGGGTTCCGCAGGGAATAATCTTGGGTCCCACCCTTTTTAACAGATATGTGCGACTCTTACCTGACCTGGCTGCAGGGAGCGGTGCAAAGCTGCTCATGTTTGCCAATGACAAGACTTTGTACGCTTCCTCACGGGATTCAATAGTATGCGCCAATGTCGTGTCCTCGGCTCTCGCTAAGCTACACAGTGAACTAAGATTACTGGGCATGAGCGTTAATTAATGCTGACGAAACCGTGGTCATGAGGATCTTGCCGAAGAATGCTCCTGACGTACAAAGACCAGTTCTTTTTGAGCTGGGTGGCACTAACTTACCTTAAGGGAAGTGAGTGTAATTCGCTGCCTTGGTATCCTTATCGATAACAAGCTCTCATTTGTTCCATACGTAGATCACCTCACCAGCAAAGTGTCACACAAGATAGGCGCGCTGCGACACACCTTCCGCCAAATGGCAGCAATTGCCCGTCGCCAGTACCTGCTTAGTGTGATTCAGCCTGACTTTGAGCATTGTTTCCCTGTTTGGGCATCTCACCTATCAGTCCAGGGAGAGATTGTTTACCTTGTTCCGTAGAGCTGTACGAGTTACCTGCGGTGCTTCATATCATGCTGCTGTTCCACCCCTTCTTGCTTCTCTTCAAATAAAACACCTTGAATGTCGATACATTTATCATTTCCTTACGTTTACGTTTATTTGTCATATTGTTCAGCCTGCGTCATGCTTACGCAGTCTTTTCCCTTTGCCCACCTCTAAGCGGTCAACTCGTGGAACTACAACAAACAATTTGTCAATTTGCTTGTTTAAATCCATGGTAGGGTACAATTCCTTTTCTTCCAGAGCATCCCTTATGTGGAATGCCCTCCCTGCTTACTTGAAACGAACTGAAGACATTAGATCATTTTCTACAGAACCTTTGCACGCTCTAAATGACGACAAATTGTCTGTATCCCCATATCCCTTCCTTTGTGAAAATGTATTGAAGCAATAACATAAAGCTTGGAACTTTCTAAACTCAACTCGGATGGTGAGCCGATTAAATTATGGTGAAAAAGGAGAAGGACAAAATGTTACGAATTATGACTAACTGTCCACCAATGTAACCAGATCTTATACAGTCAGCGAGTGCGACAATTTAAAAAAAACATGAATATCGACGGACTTGTCCCTTCTGTTCATGTCTTGCCCCTTCTGTTCATGTCTTGCCCCGCTCTAGTAATGATTCATGAAGCCGCCCAGTCCACTTTTGTTCTCCGTTTCTATTTTCGTCCAGTTGCATCTTCCTTTCTGCTCTGTTTTACTTTCTCTTTTCGTTTGTACTTTGTACTTTTGAGGCAACGAACTGAAGTAATAAAAACCAAACCAAACCCCCTGCTTCCCCCTCAAAAGCTTTATGCCGTTATTTTCATTTTCTGTGAATACGGTAACACACACAGAGTTCATCAACAAACTACAGTCCTGCTCCATGAAATCCAGTCGCTTCATTCAAGATTGCGCCTTGCACCATTTCGCAGCCCAGTGTTGGCAGGTGTACGGCCGGCTGCGCAAAGCCCGGCGTATACTTGAGTGACGCTGTGACTGGATTTCATTGAGCATCACTGTACATGTACATGTAACCGGCCCAGTTCCACAATGTACATATCTACATGATTGTATGTGTGACGTTGTGTGACTTTTGATACCTTGCAGTTGCCTGCATTCTGGACGCAACAGCTGAGCCCCCACTATTACATGTATCCGCACACACACACACACACACACACACACACACACACACACACACACACACACACACACACACACACACACACACACACACACACACACACACACACACACACACACACACACACGCATGCACACACGCATGCACACACACACACACACACACACACACACACACACACACAC